CAATTCTTGTACTATGAGTAGGACGAGTAAAACATATACCCCTTTGATTTTTCTGGATAACCAATGAAATATCCACTGATTGTTCTTGCATCCAGTTTCTTTTCTTGCGGATTATAAATTCTTACTTCTGCCTGACAACCCCAAACATGTAGGTGTCTTAAACTGGGTTTCCTACTTGTCCATAACTCAAAAGGAGTCTTTTGAATTGCTTTACTAGGAACCCTGTTCAACAAATACATGGCAGTCTTCAAAGCATACATCCACAACGATACAGGTAAACATGAATTACTCAACATACTCCTAACCATATCCATTAAGGTTCGATTACGCCTTTCAGATACACCATTTTGTTGCGGTGTGCCTGGCATTGTGTATTGAGCACAAATACCACGCTTCTCGAGGAACTTAGCAAACGGACCAGGGTGTTGTCCACTTTCATCATATCTTCCATAATACTCAACACCTCTATCTGACCTGACAATTTTCACCTTTCTGTCTAATTGCCTCTCCACTTCGTTTATATAACTTTCTAAGACATTTACTGCTTGAGATTTCTCATATAGTAAATAGACATATCCATAACGCGAGAAATCGTCAATGAAAGTGATGAAATACTTCTCTTTATTAAAAGAATTTACGTCAAATGGACCACATATATCATTGTGTATGATTTCAAGAAGTTGAGTGCTTGTGGCTCCTTTCTTTGTGTGTTTTGTTTGTTTACCTTTAATACAATCCACACATACATTCAGATCAGTAAAATCTAAATCCGGAAGGATTTCATTCTTTACTAATCTTTGCATTCTTTCTTTGGAAATATGTCCCAAACGCTTATGCCACAAATAAGCAGATCTTTCATCCACCAAACTACGTTTAGTGCCAACATTATGATGCAAGGTCATGAGAGTTTCAGCATATAAATTATCCAAATTCAATTTATATAAACCATCATAAAGTGTACCAGTTCCAATCATACATGTACACTTAAATAAACTGAAACAACTATTCCCAAACTTAAAAGAGTATCCAGCAACATCAAGCTTAGACAAAGAAACTAAATTTCTAGTGATACTAGGTACATAAAAAGTATCCATAAGGTCTAAGTGATATCCAGTGTCAAGGATTAAACGATAAGTCCCGATAGCTTCCACTGGAACCTTGACTTTATTCCCCATGAAGACGAACTTCTCATTTGGGTTTATGGTTCGGGTTGAAATGAATCCCTGCATCACATTAGAAACATGAGTTGTACATCCAGAATCAATCCACCAAGTATTATGGGGAACTTCAGTTAAATTTGATTCAAAACATACGTAAGCACTATGCTCACCTTTCTTTTCGAACCAAGCTTTACGCTTTAAGCAGTCCTTCTGAAAATGTCCAGACTTCCCGCAGAAATGACATTTGTCATTTTTCTTCTGAATGTTAGTTGAGGACTCGTTAATCTTTAATGGTCCTTTACCCTTTCCATGTTTCTTAACAACTTTCTTTTTAGTTCCTTGATTTTTCACGTAATGAATAGAGTGACTTCCTAGGTTCTTGAGTCTGGTCTCCTCCTGGACTAACATACTGTGCAATTCATGCACATTCCATTTATCTTTCATGGTGTTATAGTTCATCTGAAATGGACCATACTCAGGCGGTAACGAGTTCAAAATGAACTGCACAAGGAAATTTTCTTCCACTGCCATTCCAAGAGACTTTAGTCTTGCTGCGATATTTGTCATTTCGATTACGTGTTCATGCATACTACGAGAACCATCAAACTTTATGGTGGTCAACGTACTCATCAATGTCCCAGCGAGGGATTTGTCAGCAGTTTGAGAGCGCTCTTCCACAAATTTCATGAACTCTTTCGCATCCTCAGTTTTGGGAAGAGCAGACTTAATATTGCTTGCTACACTCATTCGCATAAACATAAGGCTAAGTCGGTTTGATCTTTCCCAAGCTCTATAATGAGTTTTCTCTTCATTACTACTAGCATCAGTGATAGCAGCCGGTTTTTCAACTTGGAAAGCTAAATCAAGATCCAACACACCTAAGTGAAATTGGACTTGTTCACTCCAGTCAGGGAAATTTAACCCATTAAAGACTGGAACAGACGAAGATAGCGAATGCAGAGCTACAGGAACAGATACTGCAATTAACACATGCCTAACATTAATACTTTGAGTCATAAAATTAAACATAAATACAGATTCAACCATAAATTACCATTCTCTGCATATTAATGTTCTCCTTTGGGAGATCCACCAATACACAAACATAATTACGCTAATCATTTTATAACATTAATGATAATTAAAATATGCATCAACTAGAATCACCTAATACCTTTGGGTATTTAAATAAAACTAGTGATGCACACAAAATTATCTACTTTCATGTTCATTAATTATAATAACAATTAATCAACCTTTGGGTGATCCTAAAATGTCTTATAATAATGAACTTCAATTAACCCATAAACCAATTATTCATAATTTTAGCGTTCATACTATGGGTAATTGAAATAAAATCACTAATAATTTGAAATTAAAATAACTTTAAAATTTTGGCCACTTTGGTGACTAAAAAAATTTATCATACTTAATTTCAAATAAATAATAACTTTAATTGTTATTAATCATTTATAATATTTTCTATTATTATTTATTTATTTATTTATTTAGTAATAACAAAACATAATTTATTTACCTATCACATTTTGGCCTCCACATTAACATTTACGTTTCAAATTTATATTGCAATTTAAATCAATTGGAGCGGCCAACATTCATAATAAGACAAATGCTACGGAATTAAAATCTAATACATTCACCCAATATGCAAGTGGCGCACGTTGGTGTGCAAGTGACGCACGTTGGCGCACCTAAACTCAAAGCATGTCTTGATCCAATTGCACGTTAGCGCACATCTTTTACTAGCACACGTAAGGCAACAGGTGCATGAGTTCCTTCAATTGTTTTCTATTATCATTATGTTTGACATACCTTGCGGCGCATAAGACAAACTCCAAACATCTAATCAATCCTCAATCAAGCATTTACCAATTCATAAATATAAAATCATTTGTTGCATATTAAACAACTGTACGAAGTCATTCACTCACATTTGCAATTCAATTGCCCAGGTCTCACCAACTTGATTGCATCGTTAATTAATCGCAGCGGAAATTAATTACATTATAAATTAATTACGCAACCATTGATGCCAAACAGTAAGAGGTCCAAAATAAATTAGGGCTTGATCCATTTATTTAATTTTGAAAAATAAATTATGGGAATAATTAGGGTTCATGCTAATATAATTGAAAAATTCCTAAATTCATAATTAGGGTTAATCCCAAAATTCATAATTAGGGTTAATCTTAATTTGAGAAAAAACATAATTTGGGAAAAAATTATCATAAGAGGAAAATCATAAATCTAAAAATCAGGCTCTGATACCACATGTAAGACATTATGTAGTTTTCCTACGTTCTTAATTCATTATAGAAAACTACTCTACAGGATCTTTAGATTATTGATTTTCACAATTTTACATACATCAATACATGAATCATAGTAAGAAGACTAACATTGATCCATGAGAATCTTTTCTTTGATCTTTTCATTCTCCTATCTCCTTTTCCCAATCTATCTCTTTGCCTTTCTTTCTCTTCTCACGCTTCGCTTTCTTGATGGTTTACCGTGAAAAAACCTTATTGCCAGAGACATAACCCTAATCCCTTTTATTAACCAACGTCCATCAAGTTGGTTACATTCAGTTAATATTTTATTTTATCTTTATTTTATTCTGACTTCACATAATAACCAATAGGTCCTTATAATTATTAAATCATATTTGTGTCCATTATTTTATTTCACATGAGTCACATAATGGAATGAATTAATTAAATTAATTCTACCCGTTCAGGCGAATCTAACGTCTTTAAATCCAATCCATGGCATTCTAAAGGCTTTCATTTCACTCATTTTTTTTATTCCCAATGGAATATTGAACGCCCTAAAGTGGACCGACATGGTTCCAGCCTAAATCGTAAATCATGTTGGTTGCAGGGACACAAACCCAACATTTGGTATTTATTTAGTACAATACCATTGACAAATTTTCATCTGAATTATTAACAATATATAGCTTCTCAGATTTTCACTTTGTACTATGAGAGTGAAGATCGCCCATAAACACATCTCAATGATTTCTTCACATTCCCCACTTGTAAAGTTTGATTTGTTTGTCTACTTCGACTTTCTCTTATTGGAAAACCTGGGCCTCCTCTTTTCTAAAGTCAAGGAGCGCATCAATTTGTTTAAGAAAATACCAAGTTGCTTCCTAAAGTCATTTTCCTCCACCATTCATGTTATCACTTTTTTTTTTCTTTTCTATAGTTCTTAACCTTACTAATTTATTTATATATTTTCATTCACATTCACATAGTCACAAATCCAACTAATGATAATAAAAAGTTAAAAACTTAGCAATTTCACAAATTTGTTGCCACTTTTTACAACAGTAAATCTGCTAGCCTAATATGATCCAAAACAGTAAACTTGTTTGGTCAAAAACTCCCATATGGTAAATCTATAATAATGAATAATGATTGGTGTCATTGGTGCAAATAAAAGTAATCCAGAAAGTTACATTGAATGATAGTTGATACTCCCTAGATTATATCCCTTTGTCATAGGTGACGTCACCATCCTGAATTGCCCATAGAAAAATAGTGATGAATGAGCATGCGTGCACCACATGAACGGTGGCTATGCAAACTTGCTTATTATAAAAATGAACTCAGAGAATATGGATAGGGGCAAAACCACATATAAATAGTGCTAGTACCCTCATAGGACCTGTAATCAAGTGAAGAATTAAAGTTGCAATCAGTAGAAGAAGGTGGTGTAGCAGAAAATGGTTCAACAAGAAATCCGAAGGGGTCCCTGGACAGAACAGGAGGACTTCAAACTGGTGTATTTTGTTAACATGTTTGGAGATCGTAGATGGGACTTTATAGCAAGGGTATCAGGTTTGAAGGTGGAGGGAGACAGTCCATAGGTATGAATATTTGGTCATGCTAAGTTATACATGAAGCACGCTTTAACCACCTGACTTTGTTGTAGGTTTGAATAGAACAGGTAAGAGTTGCAGGTTACGGTGGGTTAATTACCTCCACCCTGATCTCAAACGAGGGAAGCTGACACCCCAAGAAGAACACCTCGTGATGGAGCTGCATTCCAAATGGGGAAATAGGTTTGAGAACCATGCAGAAATTAAACTATAAGCTACCTGCTTATAACTCAAATTTCATCTCTTTGAATCTTTTCCTACCAATACAACTTAGGTCCTTTATATCATTGTTATTGCTAATTAATTCTTCACCTTATTTTGTTAATTGGTTACTTGAATTGTGTTGCTTATTTTGAGGGTCCCTTGCAGATGGTCAAGAATTGCTGGGAAGCTACCAGGGCGCACTGACAATGAGATTAAGAATTATTGGAGGACTCACATGAGGAAAAAGAAGGCTCTAGAGAAAAAACGTGCATCATCATCTTCATCATCATCATCACCTGTGTCTTCTAGATCTCTAGCTTCACTATCCTCAAACAACCATGCTGTGGATTCACATGCTTCCAAAGAGGTGGGAGACGAGAGCTTTTATGACACAGGTGGAAATGATGACATGATGGGGTTGATCGGAGTTGGAAAAGAGGAAGGTGGTGAAAAGGGGTACTCTATGGATGACATATGGAAAGATATTGTTGTGTCAGAAGAGAACAACATGTATAATATTCTGCAACCTGTGTATGAAGGGCACAGTGAAGAGGGATGCAACTTCTCTTGTCCATCATCATGGGAGTACAATTGTTTTCACCCTCTATGGGTGATGGATGAAGAAGAAAGTAACAAGATGTTGTTCTCTGCATTCAGTGATCAATACTATTCCTGCTACGAACAAGGCAATGCATTTCTAACCGGCTAACTCCAGGATTCTATGATTTTTTTTTAATCAATATCTTGTTCTTATTGTGTGTGCCATCTGTCACAATAAGAAGGCTTAACATGTACAGCATAGTATCTTTGAGCTTTCGGCATAGTCCTCCACAGTGTGACACAGCTGTAATCGATCTCAGTGTAACTGTAACCTATGTCACTGTCAGTCTTTGTGGTTTTGCTTTAAACAAACATCCAATAGGGAGGTTGTACGTTCTCAATGTAAAATACACATCACCACTTGTTTAAATCAAGTTTTAATATCCGATATGGAACCGATCCATCGTTGCACTTGCATTTTAATTATATTAAATTAATACCACCCACTACCTACTGCGTGAATAATTTCTTGACACCTTTCTAATCAGAAGAAACGTATAAGATGCACCAGACATATATTATTTCCAGCTAGTCAACGTGGCGCATTAATAAACTTATGGTTCAGGATTATTAATAGAAAACTCATTTTTCACAGTCATGCTTTTAATTGATTAAAAATGTTATATGTTCACGTTTTGGGTCACCAGGTTAAAAGGTAATGGACTTTATTGTGCTGGGTGTACTTCAAATTGTTTTGGATGATAGTTGTGGAGAACCTAGAAATCAAAACGTGAGATAGAACTAACAGTTTAGGTAATTAATGAAAGAATAGTGGGTTCATGTTTTACCTCAAATTGAAAGTTCAAATAGGAGAATCTCGTATTAATACAAACAAGTCTTCAACCATTAATACATAATCTATCTTCCTATCCATTCAATTTTTTTTTTCTTCTTCACAACTTTATTTACAATCAGATGTACTTTCTTTTAAGTTCGTATTAGTTCAATTTTGTAAAACAGGTTTGTAACACAAAAACTTATTTTAATCATATTTTTAGTTGAGCTACGTATCTCCAATATCATTTGCAAGAAGAATAAAATCTCTTATTGCCTGAATGGAGTCATTGAATTTTTCTCTACTCTTTACAAATACTGATCATCTCAAAACACTCACATGAAATATAGATAGATTTGAAATTTAATTGCATGAATTATTTAGAACCAACATGTAAATTTTTTTTTTTTAATTATGTAGCCCTGAGTTAAATATTCTGCTTTGATTTAAGAAGAAAATTTAGATTAATGAGATGCATGCTGAGCTGAATTGGACACCACTTATCCCGATATTTTGTTGACATTGACCTAACAGTAATATTTTTTTTAATTAACTTTGCAAATAGCAGCACTTACGTATCATGTATTAATAAAAAAAATGCTAATATGAATCAAACCTAAACATTAATTAAATGAGTGCTTCAATTCTTTATAATGAAATTTGATCCATTGGATGAATTGAAATCTAAATTATGTTGTGCGCTTTACTTAAATTAAATAAAGTATTTGAATTACAGGGTTTTAGTAGGAGATTTTTAATGTTTCTCATTATTAATATTATTTTGGTTTAATTTAATAAAAAGATGACTTTATTTTCCAAGGCATAGTATACACAATCTATTTTATCACGGTTAAAAAATATATAATAATGATTTTTAAATCGTTGATGAAAATTAAAAAATTAATAATTGAAATATTATTATAAATTTGATGTGTAAATAGAGTTTTAGTTTGATGGAACCAAATCTAAGTATTATTGGACCTAATAAATATGCAGGATAAAAATCTTAAAAAAAAAATTAATGATAAAAAGGAAAAAAAAAACTAAAATGATCTCTATCTTTTTCTACAACATTAGCGCCCACGTGCGATAGGAAATACTCCACATTCAAAATGATGGTGGTGACTCGTAGGAACGATCAAACAATCAACACCCTACTCGGTTTACCTTTCAGAAAAGAAGACGCTAGGGCGAAGTTTCAGAACCCGGATTTTCGCCCCGATTTTCACGCGGACTTAACGGTGTCACCTCACGACGGACTCCACTTTTGGCAGTTCATGATCGCCGGATCCATCGCGGGCTGTGTCGAACACATGGCCATGTTTCCCGTTGACACCGTTAAGACCCGTATGCAGGCCTTGGGCTTGTGCCCCGTCAAAACCGGTACGGTCCGTCAGGCCCTAAAGTCCATTCTTCAATGGGAGGGGCCGTCGGCCCTTTACCGTGGCATTGGCGCGATGGGCCTCGGCGCCGGCCCGGTCCACGCTGTCTATTTCTCCGTATACGAGACCTGCAAGAAGCGTTTCTCTGTTGGGAAGCCTAAGAACGCCGCCGCGCACGCCGCCTCCGGTGTCTGCGCCACCGTGGCCAGCGACGCCGTGTTCACACCGATGGACATGGTGAAACAGCGGCTGCAGCTGGGGAACAGCGGGTACAAAGGGGTTTGGCACTGCGTGAGGAGGGTCATGAGCGAGGAAGGGTTTGGGGCGTTCTATGCCTCTTATAGGACCACCGTGTTGATGAATGCGCCGTTCACCGCCGTGCTATGAGGCCGCGAAACGTGGTCTAATGGAGGTCTCTCCGGATAGTGTTGACGATGAACGGTTGGTTGTGCATGCCACCGCCGGTGCTGCTGCCGGAGCCTTGGCTGCCGCAGGTACGACGCCTTTTGATGTTGTCAAGAATCAGTTGCAGTGTCAGGGTGTCTGTGGTTGTGATAGGTTCAAAAGTGGATCAATTGGGGATGTTGTTAGAACAATATTGAACAAAGATGGATATAGAGGGCTCATGCGAGGATGGATTCCAAGGATGCTCTTTCATGCTCCTGGAGCTGCTATTTGCTGGTCTACATATGAAGCTGGAAAGTCCTTTTTCCAAGATTTCAATCAGCAGAAAGACCTGGAACTGTTACCAAATTGCATCCAAATTGCATTTGAACTGCGCATGCCACATAAGCTTTTTGAGTTATTTGCCGAACTTTGCAGGAAGAGAGAGGCTGAAGATCACATTGACAGAGCACTTAAGGCCTTGGGTGATGAAGAGCTTCACATATTATTTAACTATGCTCGAAAATGGAATACAAAACCAAGACTCTGTTATATTCACAGTTTGTACTTTTCAGAGTTTTCAGCATCTTTCCTCCAACAGATATTGTTCAGATTAAAGGAATTGGTGAACTTCTTGAAGGCATTATCCCATATAGTCAGAGGCATTATCTCAGAATATGATATACCATCGAAATCAGGCAATATGCATTACATAATCCGTACTACGCTCGAAACGTGGGTAATGTGCGTAGTCCGCAATAAGTGTGCAATCCGCACTATGGCAATCCATACTACACTCGAAGTGACTAATACATTGCGCAATTCGTACTACGTGTATAATCCGTAGTACGCGTGCAATCCGTACACAATTCGGATTACGCTGGAAAACCAATCAATAGGCTAAATACGTTCGAAATCCGTATTAAGGTCAGAATATGATCTAGAACTGAAATACAAGCAATGTGCGACGTACTACGGTCGAAATGCTATTTAATCTTCATTTAAATACATATAAAAATTAATAATCTTCATTTAAATACATGCAAAAATTAATTTTTACACTCTATATCTCAAGATATATGATTTTTAAGAATTGTTTATTATTTTAAGTGGTTCAACTTAACAATTATATTATAAAATATTAAGAAATAAAGTATATTTAACGTTTATTTCGATTTTTACTCGTTGTGATGCGTAAATAGAATTTATACTCAATGGAACCCAAATCTAAATATTATTGGTTCAATAAATACGTAAAAAAAATTTTAAAGAGAAATTTAATTATAAGAATAAGGAAATACTTAAAGAAATGATATCTATTTTGTTTACTTTGTTTCAGAACAAAGTTATTCGTACGACGATGTAGGTCATTGTGGGATCAATCATAAAACAAAATTATTTTAGTTTGAATTGTAACGGTGGTTCCATTAACAGGTAATTGGTGAATCTTATTTTTGTTCAGCATCCCAGGTGTCATGTCATGTTTGACTAGAAATACAAGTTCTTTAATACTCCTTTAATTGAAATAATTGTTCTTTTTATAAAAACATTTATTAATTTTATTTGTCCTTTACATTATTAAGGAATAAATATAATTGTACGGACTCATTTGTATATTATGTTATTTAGTTATTAAATCAATTTAAATTTAAAAATTGATAAATATAGATTAAAAAACAAAATTAACTTACAAATAACTCTTAAAAATAATTTCATCAAAAAATTTAAGACTAATCTTGAAAACACTTTCTTTCAAAGATGCTCTGGCTTGGCTTTACTTTTATAGTAAGACATTGAATAAAAATAAGATTTATTAAATAATCCAACTTAGAAATACATTTTATGGAATAGTTATTCATTATTAAAAAACTTGAGATATTATTATCCTTTAATTTATTTTATTTTCACTCATAAATAACAGAGACTAGAAAAAAAATAGTTATTTTTAAAAAATAAATAGATCCAATTAGGCAAACAAATTTTTACTCTGTCTAGACTTAATTAAATTGTCTTTTCTACATGAGAAAAATATATAAAAGTGAACTAACCCGTGCCATTGGTTGGTGCGAGAGTTTATGATACCCATCTCCGGCGAACTAGGGAAGTAGAAGAGGGAAACGAAACGAGAAACCGAGACACTGAAAATGTCTCGTATCTCCACACTCTATCTTCTCGCATACAACTCCTTTCAGAGCATTGGATGGTACAATTTACAATTCTTCAGTTCATCTCTTTCTTTAATTTCTCTTCTCACTCTCTAATTTCTCACTCACAGGACAATTTCCTTAATTAAGATTTTTGCCAATCTTCTCGCCACTGCTTCCATCGACGGAACCTATGCTTCCGCCGGCAACTTAATCTGTCAGTTCATTCCCAAAATACCCTTAAGTAATTCTATTATTCAATACATTGTGAAAAAAAAACACTGTTTTTTTCTTCAGTTTAATTGCTCATTTGTGATTTATACTTTCAATGTTTACATTTTAATCTGTATGATAGAATTATTCGTTTTGATTCTTACTCTTACATTTTATCATTGAGGTAACGTTCAAATTTAGTAATTAAAATTTTGTGTTACTAAAAAAAAACCTATATTAAGTCCCTCAAATATTTTATGATTTGATTTAATTCTCTTAAACTAATCTCATTTTGTAATTTGGTCTCTTCCTGGAGATACTAAGCCATTATAATTGTAATATATGTTTAGAGATTAAAATAATAATAAAAATGTTAATTTTAAATATTTATTTAAATTTCTAAATTTGTCTTTTTTTTTTTTAATTTATTCCAATATCTCTTTTTCCAAGACTCGCAGAAATTATGCCTCTCCCTTTAACAGTTTGAAAAATATTGGGATGTAAGGATAATAGTTGTAAACGTCCAAAAGGCAAGGATTTTTACACACAATATGAAACTGAGATACGATTGCAGAGATTAAATTAATCATTTATTTTTTAAAAATTTGTTTATTCACTTTACATCACATTTAACTATTTGAGTCTTTATATATATTTTTTAATTTGTTTTTGTCCTTTTTGGTACGAGACTGAAAAGGCTAAGAAATGTAATGGTAAAGACTTAAACCTGTAATTTTTAAGAAGAGTAGAAATTGAAACATGAAGATTGTACATTGGTTTAATTAAACCTAATATTTGCTCTGTCTCGGTTCAAGGTTTTCTGCAATGTGCTGCATTCTTGGAAGTTATACACGGAGCGATCGGTGCGTTTGCTTCTGTGAATGAAATTGAATTGCTTTGTTAGTAGGACAAAAATTTACTTTAAAATTTAAGAAACAATTTTAACATGTCAATTTCAGGTATTGTGCCCAGCGGCGTTCTGCTTCCTCTTATGCAATGGGGAGGAAGGACACACTTTGTACTTGCCATTGTTCGGAAGCTTGATGAGGTTTTATGTCTCACGTTCAGTTCTCTTGTCTTTTTGTTTTACCTTTTTGGTTAAATGCTTTTTAATTTTTTTTCTATTCTTTCACTAGTGCGACATGTGTTGGCAAGACTCTTTTGAATAATATAGGTCCATTTCTTTCCAATATCTTTCTAACATTTAGTTTTTGAAATTGTTTACAGCGAACATTTTAGTCTAGATTTTAAAAATCATCAGTTACTTTATTATTATTATTATTTATTTATTCTGTAAAACCATACATTTTCTTATGAAGTCAAGCAAGAACTAAAAGAGATTCTGGAAAATCTTAGGGGCTGAAATGCACATGACCCTCAAGTTTACTCGTGTATGCAATAGTTGACAATCAGACACAGATAGCTAACTTTGGGTATTTGTTGCATGCTTTCTGTAGCTCCAGGAATTACCTTCAGTTTTTATCACTTTTCTTGCATGGAGCATGGGTGAGGTAATTTGTTTATTTTTTTTTATTGGATGTAGTTCGTTAAATTTTCTAGCAGAACATACTGGTTTAAACTTTAAAACAGTTGATACAACACTATTTAAAGCAACGATGCATATACTTATCACACGGAAAAAAGAGTCACTGTTTATCATGTCTGATGTTTTCAATAGGAAATTGACTTGAAAAGTTCACTTTTTAACAGATTTTTAGCATTTTGGATTTGAGGTCACCTTTAATATTCCCATACTTCTTTTAACCCCTCCTAATTCATGTCATCCCTAGTGTAACATAGGTTTCATGTTATTTTTTTGTTTCTTTTTAAGAGAATATCAGGTGACTTTTTCAAGGAGTGTAGTGTGTACTGTAGCCTGATTTTCCTTTTACCGCACTAATGGTTTGTTATGTCTGCAATCCATGAAAATTGTGGTATAAAAGAAATACATGATCATTTTCCATCTAAGAAAGATGACCGGGACCGCAATCTTTGGAGATGCAGGTCATTAGGTATTCACATTATGCTTTCAGTTGTTTGGGAAATTGTCCTTCTTGGATGACCTATCTCAGGTATTTTTCTATTATATTCCATATACTCTAAAGTTGAACAAGGTTAATATCTTCTATTATTTTTATAGAATACTCTTTTCAAAGTATATATGCTTGTTGCTTTATCCTCTAATTAGGTACACTGCGTTTATTGTGCTGTATCCTTTGGGAGTGGGTCCTGGTGAAAGTGAGTTCAAAAATCAATATCTCCCTTCTATCTCTGAAATCTGTTTTTGAATGAATTTTAAATCGATTTTACTATTATTAGGTTTGACTTTTTACCTATTCCTTTCTTAATCAAATGTCATCACCTCTTTCATAAAGTAACTGATATGTATTATAATGCAGTATGGACTATGTACAAGGCGCTTCCAATTATAAAAAAGAATAATCTCTATGCAGATTCCTTTTCAGGCCTCCCATTTAGTTATTATGATTTCCTTAAGGTAAGTTCTTATAAGAATCAAATAATCCATAACCTCAAACGGATCTCCTGTTGATTACAGGACTTTCTAAAAGAGAGGAGAAAAAATAGAGCTGAAAATTTGTTGTGTCAATGCATTTGAAATTAAGTACTTATTGAATAAGGGATTGTCATACAAGCCCTTACGCTAAAGACGAAGAAGATTGAATTGTTTGCATGTAAGCTGTTTTTATAAACTATTCGGGATAGCTTATTGAAATAAAATAAAAACAAGTTGTGAACATGTCAAGTTATTTTCATGAGTTTTTCCAAACATGTATTCAAGTGTTCATGGAAAAAAAAAAAGTCCAAATAAACTGTATGTAAGCTTCTCCAATAGCACCTAAGCGTTGGGAACTGACAGAAAGTGGTTTTTGCTGCATATCACATCACATGCCTTTATGCCCCTTTTCAATTCAATTTCCTCTAATTGTAACTTATCTACGTCCATGAATTGTTTATTCTTTTAATTTATGCTCTATTTCTCTCATTCAGGTTGTACTTGTAGTTTATCCATTCCTATGGTTCAAACTTTACCTGCATATGTTCAAGCAACGACGTGCAAAACTTTATAAACGCCTTGACAAGAAAAGGGCGTGAGGAGGTTTACAAAACTTTATCAACATCATTCTTCTCGGTTAGTCAGCATATTGTATTGATTATTAAATTCTGAACTTGTGTTTTTAGTTCCATTCACAATGTATTTTGTTAAAAAATATTAAACTTTCTGTGTGGCACTGACACTCATTCTGAAATTTTTCTTTGCAATTTTTTCCTGGATTAAAGAATCAAATAATGAATTTGTTGCCTGCAATTATGATTATTGTGGGAATTTGAAAGAAAGACCTTGATATGTAATGTGTTGCCTTCAGTATTGTGCACAGAATTCTACCCCTACAAAAACTAGTGTCGATTAATAATGATAGCTTGTTTATAAAATGAATTAGTTCATTCTTATTCTGAAATATTGCATTTCGAGTTGGTTGCTATTTGATAATGATTATGCTCTTCTGGACAGTAAGCATTATATCTACATATTATCTTCTTTAAGAATTATTTATAAGGAACAAGAAGATTTATAGTTAGATTAAAACTTAGAAGTTTAAATGTGACAAATACTTGGTAAATGATCTTATAGAACAGGACAAATATGTAACCAAAAGTAAAACAAGGAAATTGAAACAACAGAAGATAACCCTTATGCAAAGCAAATAAATTTAATGTAGGTCCTAATAATCTGGGACGGGTAGCTGTTCATAAGAGTTTGGGGTGATGAAGAAAGTGTCATGCACTATTTGGGTTCATGGATGTGTATGGGCTTTCCAGAAAAATTCATCTTGAAGAGACAATACTAACAAGATATGAATATAATTCATATAAAGGATTTATATTATTTTTATTTTAAAATTTTAAGATATTAAATTATGGATCATATTTCTGTTATTCAACTTTTTCCTTTTTGTACAAATATTTACACCAGTCAAGATGTTAGCACCCACAATGAAACCATTGGAGCAATTATTCAAAGGTTTTCTTTCTTTGGGTACACTGCAATGGCATACACTGCGTAAACCAGACCAGAAGTAATCACAATCTCAAAAACTAGAGCATTTGCAGCTCCTACCCCTGGAGATAACGCGAACGCAGATGTTTCCTGCAACGGACACGCAAAAAAGAAAAAAAAATGCTATCACTAAAATTGACATAAATAAATAGTGGATTTCACACAATTTTGTGATTTCTAAGAAAATAATAAAGATTATGTCAGTTGAAGTGTATCACAGAACGTTTTTAAAAAAAGTTAGTGCATAGGGTCAATCGTGTATATCAATGTGATATGTTAATTTAGTCTTTAAAAAACGAAAATCTTACTTAGGATGTATTTAATTGAGATTTCAAAAGATATTTTTAATAAAAAATCTTGTAGTATTTAATTTAGACTTTAAAAATCTACATTACTTTTTATATAACAAATTCTTTTAAAATTCAAGCGAATACACCCTTTGGTTCTGAATGTGTAAAACGTCCAATAATTATGTTCTGTTATTAAGTTTCTGACCATTTTATTATTAAATATAATTTGAAGGACATAAATTATTATTTTTCTTAATTATAATATTTAAAGATCACTTCTAGATTGAAGACTTCAAAGACTAAATTAACAATATTTCCAACAGTGAAGTATCTTACCAATCCACCAGTCGCAAATTTAAGGAGAAAGCAAGCAAGTGAGCAATCCAGTATAAAAGGCCTCGGAGGAGGGATATGTGACCACCAATAAAGGCACAACATGCCCACCTGAAATGTTAGAACCAACCGAGACAGCAACAAAAAGAGCAAATGCATGAAAAAGTGATGCTGCCACCGAGGAAGATAATAGAAATACATGTTGAAATACATAATAATATAATATAAGATACAATAAATATAATATATTCAAAACATTGTGTACCTGTAATTGTTGAAAGATCCATAGAGCGCGTATGAGAGAATATTGCTCTCTTTCTAATAGGTTACCCTGAACGTAGTGTGTAATGTGGTTTTTTATTGTCACACGCAAAACTGACTAATGGGGTATCAGTTTTTATCCACCTATCAGCAGAGACCAGGGATCTCTCAATAAGTAACTGATTCTGAACAATCCAACCTATCACTGACCGTTCATCGAAACCCAAATTAAATTATTATTTATAAAAATGATGATGTGTAATATAATTGATAATTACAAATAAATTAATTTATTGATTAATGTTAATCCATAACAAATAGAGAATAATAATTTATATATATATATATATAAATATATATATATATAATAAATTATATAAATACAACATTCTCCCACTTGGATAACATTGATAAATAAATTAATCATATCAATTACAAAACAAACACAAATATCAATTAAGAAATATAAACATGAATCACAACGATAATATCCTATAGGGATGATTACCATATGCTTAGATTTCATAAATAATAGATAATAAATAACATAAAACCAAACATAATAAATATGTGATCCCAAAATGGTTCATACATTTGATGTATCAAAGAGATGTAATAAAATGACGTCATTGATAAATTTACATCTCATAAAATCCATAATAATATATATTATGAATCTCAAACTCCTACTAACTCAGTACATCAAAAGACTTAACCACACCCATATGAGTTACATGATTTTGAAAAACTCCAATAGCTAAGCCTTTAGTCAGTGGATCTGCTAACATATTTTCTGTAGCAGTATGTTCAATCCGAGTTTGAAAATCCAAAACTTTCTCTCTAACAAACAGAAATTTTATATCAAAATGCTTTGAGCGAGTAGAACTTCTGTTGTTTTGAGAAAAATGTACGGCAGCAGTGTTGTCACAATATATCACAAGTGGCCTAGAAATACTTTGAAAGCCAGAAACCAAATTTTTAAGCCACACAGCTTAACAAGTAGCTTCATAACAAGCAACATATTTTGTCTCCATAGTAGAAGTAGCTGTAAGAGTTTGTTTAACACTCTTCCAAGAAATAGCTCTTTCTGCCAACTTAAATATAAAACCAGAAGTAGATTTTCGATCGTCAGGGCAACCAGCAAAATTAGAATCAGAATAACCAATGACTTGAAATTGATTAGACTTCTTATATGTCAACATGTAATCCTTAGTTCCCTGCAAATATCTAAATACCTTTTTAACGGCTTTCCAATGACCCAAACCCGGGTCGCTCAAGTATCTTCCTAAAGCATTAACAACAAAAGCAATATCGGGACGAGTACAAACTTGAGCATACATTAAACTACCAACAACGGAAGCATATTGAATTTTTTCCATTTTAATTCTATCATTATCATTTTTAGGACATTGAGATTTAGAGAGTTTATCACCTTTTTGAACAGGTGCTACACATGAGGAGCAAGAATGCATGTTAAACCGTTTAAGGACTTTATCAATATATCCTCTTTGAGACAATCCAAGAATGCCACGTGACCTGTCACGAAAAATTTGAATGCCCAGAACAACAAAGGCATCACCAAGGTCCTTCATATCAAAATGACTATTTAACATAGACTTTGTCTCAACCAAAAGTTCAACACTGCTACTCGCAAGAAGAATATCATCAACATATAAGACAAGAATGATGAAATGACTCTCATTTTTCTTCAAGTAAATGCATTGATCCAAGACGTTTTCCTTAAAGCCAAAAGAAGTGACCACCTGGTCAAATTTCAAATACCATTGTCTAGAAGCTTGTTTCAACCCATAAATAGACTTTTTTAACTTGCAAACCAAATGCTCATTGTTTTTTTTAGCAAAACCATCAGGTTGAATCATATACACTTCCTCAAATAAATCTCCATTAAGAAAAGTTGTTTTGACATCTATTTGATGAAGCTCCAAATCAAAATGAGCTACTAAAGCCATAACCACACGAAAAGCATCCTTAGTAGAGACTGGTGAGAAAGTCTCTTTATAATCAATGTCATCCCTCTGACTATAGCCTTTTGCTACAAGTCTGGCTTTATATCTCTCAACTTTTCCATCTGGATTATGCTTAGTCTTGAAGACCCATTTACACCCAACTGGTTTGCAACCGAGTGGCAAATCCACAAGATCCCAAACTCCATTATGGGCCATAGAAGCTAACTCATCATGCATAGCATTTAACCAATCAGAACCATGAGAACTAGAGATAGCCTCTTTAAAAGTAGTAGGATCATCAACATCATTAAGATCATATTCATGCTCTTGAAGATACACCTGATAATCATCAGGTATAGAAGACTTGCGTAATCTTTGAGATCTCCTCAAAGGAACCTCTTCAATCACATCATCATGAACTTGTTCATCTACTACATGTGATGTAGCATCAACAAAATCTGGAACCGAATCATTTTCATCACGGACAACTGGAATCACATTATTTGCATGAAAAAAATTGGATGGTACAAGAACAACAACACGATCTTCTCTAAGAGTGACTGGTTGTGGCGCACTGCTCCCACTGTCCAAATCATCCTCAAAGAATATTGCACGGTCAGACTCAATAACTCGGATGGAGTGAGAAGGGCAGTAAAATCTACTACCACGAGAACCGATACAATAGCCAATGAAGAATCCACTGACAGTCTTAAGATCAAGTTTTTTCAACTGAGGATTATAAGGTCTCACCTCTGCCTTACAACCCCACACATGAAAGTGTCTTAAACTTGGCTTCTTCCCAGTCATAAGCTCATAAGGAGTCTTTGAAACAGACTTGCTAGGTACTTGATTAAGAATATACACAGTAGTCTTGAAAGCGTCTCCCCAAAGAAAATTCGTAAAGAGGAATGACTCAACATACATCTCACCATATCTAGAAGAGTGTGATTCCTCCTTTCTGCAACACCATTTTGCTGATGAGTACCGGGCATAGTATACTGAGCTTCAATACCACATTCATTAAGAAATCTAGCGAAAGGTCCTGGATTTCTTCCAGTCTCATCATATCTGCCATAATACTCTCCACCTCTGTCAGACCTTACACATTTTATCTTCTTTCCAATTTTCAACTCAATAGCAGCTTTGAAAGACTTAAAAGCATCCAAGGAACTTGACTTTTCTTGTAGGAGATCTATCCATCCAAATCTGGAATAATCATCTATAAACGTGATAAAATACCTGTATCCACCCATGGAAATGGGTGTCATAGGTCCACACATATCAGTATGAATAAGTTGCAACACATCATCACACCTTTTTGCACCTGCATTTCTTACTTTTGCAGTAAGCTTTCCCTTAATGCAATCAACACAAGTATCAAAATCAGAAAAATTCAGATCATGCAGCCTCTTTAATCAACCTCTCAATCCGAGGTCTAGAAATATGCCCCAGACGTCTATGCCACAACATAGAGGAATTTTCATCAACTCTACTACGCTTATATCCAACAATAGAATTAATAGACATGTCATTCAGATTTAACATGTAAAGCCCATCACATAAAACTCCTAAGCCAACAATAATTGAATTGAAATAAATAGCAAGTTTTCCATTGCCAAATTCAAAAGTGTAGCCACATTTATCCAAAGCTGAAAACTGAAATTAAATTCCTTCGCATAAAAGGTACATAAACAACGTCTTTCAATAACAAAACATGTCCAGAAGGTAAATTTAAAGACACTACTCCTATGTCTTCAACTTGTGCTCTAGCTCCATCTCCCATGATAATCTTGGATTCAAGGTCACTTGGATTTCTCAGGCTTGTGAACCCCTGTAAAGAATTCACAACATGAATAGTAGCACCCGAGTCAAACCACCAAGAATTGGGAGGAATATCAACAACATTGGATTCAAAACAAGCTAGAACATACATGTGCTTACCTTCCTTATCAGCATTCTTCTTCTTAAGAATATAACAGTCAGTTAGCTTATGCCCAAATTTCTTACAATAGGCACACTTCCCCTTAAAGTACTTCTTCTTAGGCTCCAAACCTACTGATGCTTTCCCTGTGTTCCTCTTTTCATGGCGAGATTTGCCTTTGAAACCCTTTTTAACAGGTTTAGTACCTGAAGTAATAGCTGTGAATTGCACACTATGCGGCTTGGATTGTTTAATAGATTCTTCCTCTTAGGAAATAATAGCTATCATCTCATCAATTTTCCATTCCTCCTTCTGAGCGTTGTAAGAAGTCTTCAACACATCAAACTGAGAAGGAAGTGATTCCATAACCTGCCAAATCAAAAAACTGTCACCAAGCTCCACCTTTAAAGATTTGAGTTTGTTATAATAGTGCACAAGCTTCATCATATGTTCACGAACACCACTGACACCATCATATTTGGTCTTCTCAAGAAGTGACAGATATTGACCCTTTTGAGCTTTGTCAAAAGTCTTAAACTTCTCACCCACTGATCTCAGAAAAACCTTAGCATTATCATCATCCGGAATGCTTTGTCGAATAGACTTCTCCATGGTGTATTTCATCACCATCAAACACACCCTATTTGAGTGTTCCCATTTCTCACGATAAGCTCTTTGGACAGTAGTGGACTCAGGAGTAAGTGCTGGAGGCTCGTTCTCTCTCAAACAAAGGTCCATATTGGTAATTGTCAAATACAAATCCAGAGATTCTTTCCAATCCTCAAAATTTGTCCCATTTAAAGTTTTGACCGAAGTCAATTGCATAGGCAAAGAAGCTGGTATCAAAATAACAAAGAAACATTTAATACGCACAATTATTGTGCAAATAAACAAAATAAATGTCTCTAAATACACAACAAAACATGCCTATGATATCAAATTTCTCATTCACTATG